AAAAGTCCCCGGGGTGCCCCCCCTTGGTAAAGAGCAAAAAAAAGGGGGGGAGGGAGAGGAAAGGTTAAGTTTCGGAACTTGGGGGAGGGACAGCGCAAGGGGGCCTAGACCGCCTTTGGGGAGGGCAACATGGTCCCGTAACCAGGTTATTTCCGCTGGGGCCGGGGGGCGCCCGGGCCCCCGCACCGGCGTTCAGCTTGAACTCCTTGCCAGAGAAGCCCTCGACGTCGGGGTAGCGCACCCAGAAGAAGGGGATGACGTCACCCGGCGCCTTGGCCGGGTCCTGCGCCAGCACGCTGTTGTCGAGCAGCGCCACGATGAGGACGATCTGAATCCACGCCAGGTTTGGCAGCGCCGCCCACGACGCGAGCGTGCCGCCAGGCATGTCCGAGAACTTGATGTCCTCAGCAAAGGAGAGGTAGCCGGGCCAGCGGATGCCAGCCTCGGTGAGGATGACGTGCAGGGTGGCCGCCATCGCGAAGCGGCCGTGCTTGATCTCCATCTCCTGCCAGCGGCGGTACTTGTCGGGCATACGCGTCATCAGGCCGAGCGGGTCGTACACGCCCAGCGGCTTGGTGGTGCCGACGTCGCCCGGCGTGATGGCCGCCATGCGTGCGTTGGACACGGCCGGGCGCACGACCGGCGCATTGAGCGAGAGCGACGAGACGGCAGTGGAGAGCATGACTGTGGAGGGAGGCCGGGATGTGTGAGGCACAGAGAGGGACGGGCGATGACGTCGGGGCGCAGAGCGGAGGAGCGCAGTTTCGTGTGCCGTGAGAGAGGGAGCCGCGCGTGTGGATGCGGCAGCGCTGTGGCCGCTGAGCCGCACAGCTCGCATCCGGTGCGAACTGGCAATCCGGAGGGAACTGCGGTCTGGACCACGCTGCGCAGCGCGCCGCCACTCGGTGGCGGTGCCACTGCTGCAGGCAAGACGCAGCGGCCTCAGCGCACCCTCTGTGTGGCGCGGCCTCTCTGCGGCGAGGCGGTGCAGCAGTCCTCGAAGTGTGCGTGTGGGGGGGGTGGCGAGGGCTGCGCAGATGCGCGCCCGCTCGGGAGGTTCACCCTGCGAGCTGCTGCTATTATTGGCAAGAAAAAGAAAGAGGCGTGCAAGACACACACTCCTCGACACAACATCCCTGTCGTGTGTGGACTGTGGCGGTTATTATTCTCCCACCCCTCCCTTGGTTTTGGGTCGCTTTTCGCTTTATTTTTCTTTCCAGCTCACTCCCTCGGCGGTCGGCGCTCGGGTTGTTGTATGTTGTCTGTCTTTTATCTGTACTAACGCACACACATTATCGGCACAATGAAAGATGTACGCCACCGTTTAGCAAGGGGTGCCAACCCCCATGCGGCCTCAGAGAAGGGGGGGCTTCATCTCTCTCATACTAGCTCTCATATGCAGCCACGCCACCCCGGCCGGCCGTCGGATCCCACACACACAGCCACTGCAGCCCGTGCCCAACACGCTACCACGCGTTTTGGAACAGGGTAAATACACGCGCGCGGTCCCGAGAGAGCGTGCCTCGGGTCATCACATGCATGGAGTGCACGGTACTCGTCTGTTGCCATATCCCAAACTGTCCGCGTCCCTGGCTTCGGACACAGGGGGTCTGTAACCACTGACTCGCGTCCGGCGACGGCATCGATGCTGTCCGCCCGAGCGTGACTCGCAACTCCACGATTTGCCGTCCACGGACAAAGCGGCTCCCCTCCATCATAGTTGAACCGTCTCAATAGTTACATACATACTCGCAAGATATATGGGTGGCGGGTGCATTTTGCCGATCGTTTTGCTTATCGGCCCTGAACCACGAGACTCATTGCTCAAAGTCAGCACAAAAATCGATGATAACCGCAGACCGAGAGTTTCTTGAGAAACAGAGTGAGCTGGTTCAGTGAAGGTGGCCCAGCCACACCCGCGGTCGGAGCAGGGGAGGGGGCAATCAAGGAGAGTGACGGCGCGGTAGATAGATGTTCAGTTCGGGGCGCAAGATGTGGTGAGCTACTCTGCGTTCTCGCACATTTTCTAAGTGTGCGTGTGGGGGGGGGGTGGCGAGGGCTGCGCAGATGCGCGCCCGCGATCCGCTGGGAGAGCTGAACCTCTGCGAGCTGCTGCTATTATTGGCAAGAAAAAGAAAGAGGCGTGCAAGACACACACTCCTCGACACAACATCCCTGTCGTGTGTGGACTGTGGCGGTTATTCTCCCACCCCTCCCTTGGTTTTGGGTCGCTTTTCGCTTTATTTTTCTTTCCAGCTCACTCCCTCGGCGGTCGGCGCTCGGGTTGTTGTATGTTGTCTGTCTTTTATCTGTACTAACGCACACACATTATCGGCACAATGAAAGATGTACGCCACCGTTTAGCAAGGGGTGCCAACCCCCATGCGGCCTCAGAGAAGGGGGGGCTTCATCTCTCTCATACTAGCTCTCATATGCAGCCACGCCACCCCGGCCGGCCGTCGGATCCCACACACACAGCCACTGCAGCCCGTGCCCAACACGCTACCACGCGTTTTGGAACAGGGTAAATACACGCGCGCGGTCCCGAGAGAGCGTGCCTCGGGTCATCACATGCATGGAGTGCACGGTACTCGTCTGTTGCCATATCCCAAACTGTCCGCGTCCCTGGCTTCGGACACAGGGGGTCTGGGGTGATGCTCCGATAAACCCTCCGGATCTTCGACAAAAGTTGGACATTTCTTTTTTCAAAGTGCAAGGTGTGAATAAGAGGTTTATGATAGGGCTACTACGACGAACTATGCGGCAATCGACTGGGGCGCAGGGCCCCAGCACATCCCGCACAGAGACCTCGTAGTAACCCTACTAGTACCGCCGATGCGATTGCTCGATAAGCGGTGAGAGTAACGGACGGTCGCACAGAAGTTCCCACACGTGGGCACTCATGAAGGGCGCCTGGGTCTAAATTTAGTGCGTGTGAATGAACTTTAGTGATAGTTTAGTGCGCTATTTAGTGTGTGTGTTCGAGTGCGTGTGTAGTGCGTCTTTAGCGCAAATTTAGCACATATATATACGAGTAGCACATATTTAGAGTGTTTTATCTCCAATTTAGCGCCACATTTAGTTCACTTTAGGTGCGGGCAGCTGCAGTACATTTAGTGTAGGTCCCGCTTCTTTAGTGCGGGCACGCACCTTTAGCACGGCTTCCCGGCCACACCACAGCTAGCCAGGGCCGCGTGCTTTGCTCCTTGGCGTTCGCGGTTGGGGACGGGACAGGGAACTTTTCCCAGGTTATACCCGCAAAATACCCGGTATTATTGCCAATTTGGCTGAATTTGGCCGCAAACCAGCCTCTAGACTCGGCTCAGATCCCGAAAAATTGATGATTCCATTGAGGCTAGTGCCATTTCACTCTGACACGCTAATCTTGAAAACGTCTCCAACGGAGCTCCGTGTTGCTTCCAGCGCCCTCCCCCGCGCTCCCTGCGGCCATGGCCGATGCTCCTAGAAAGAGAGGTCATCTGGCTACCGCGAGAGCGACCCAACTCGTCGACATCGTCCGATGATGGTGCCGCAAAGTCAGCCTTCGGAGGCTATCGTGGGGTCGAGCCGGCAGTAGCCGTGACATGTGGTTCCACCACCCCTCGTAGGCTTTGCCTCTGACCGCCACCGTTCCCAGGCTGCCTAATTGGATGGAAAGGAAGGCTCGGCGAGCGTATAGAAGCGTGCTCGACCTCGTCGTGGCAACCTGTACGGCAGCGCTGGTAGGCGCGATGAGCGTCGTGCCACCTGACCCGAGACGGGTCGCAGGCGTCGTACCGAGCGCGTCGAGACCGTGTCCTGATGTGATCTGCACGGATGAGTCAC